ACGGGGGGGGGGGGGTGGTTATTCTGGGAAGTTGACACCTATTGGCCCAAATTAGTTTCATCCCTTGTCTCTTTATTATGTCATTCGCTGTTATTCACCCGCAGTCATTACCCGTCATTACCTTCAGTGGTTTTCCGGATCATTGCATAATTAACAATTATTCCACGAGCACGTGTTGGATATGAGATGGTAAATAGCCAACGAGGCACGTAGCACCGAGTTGGCTATAATCATCTCATATCCAACAAGTGTGAGTGGAATAATTGTTTTATTAAAAACGCCCCCAAGATTAGACAAATCTTCCCGAATTTATTTTGTAAGAAAAAACCGGATGTTACAATATACAGATAATTTCTGGTTTAACTCATTTCATGACATGTCACATGTCTATCAAAAACTGTCAAATCCCGCGCGCGTTGTTCTGAATGAACTAAAAGAAACACAACGATCAAAATACATCAAGTTTGGCAAATTTTTGCTGCTTGAATAAGTGAAAAAATTTTCTGTTTATGTTTACAAGACACAGTTTAACCGCTTCCACTAAAATTATTGTGAACTTGCACATTGGTGCAGTTGTAAAAGTTAAACTGGGGAGGAAAGCGATGCAGCCCTTGCTCACCATGTGCGTAGTTTTCATGCATGTTGTTGGAAACCACCACTTGATTATGCTGGACGAGAACTGACACTGGGGATGCTTGAATTGCCGTGGTGGATGAGCTTGTAGCCTGTAAGTCCAGATGCCGTCCCACTGTGTTTTCTTTGTCAACTGAAGTGGCTTCATGGCCATGAAGGAAGGAGCTGAGCACTTCCGACATCTTTTGCTGGTCGAGGGAAGGTCGATCGTTATAACTTTTGATTGAATGGTCGGACTTGTGGCCGGTGACTGATTTAATGTGCCTCGTCTCACAGTTGTTGTCAGAAAGGACGGTCACCGAAGTTGCCCTGAGGCAATGATTCGTGAGGTGAGGCTGGATCCCTGCTCGAGAGCTCATTAACTTCAACATCGAATCCAGAATGTTGACTCCAAGAGGCGAATTGCAGTACCACACTTTATCTTTGTCAGGATTAAAGCTTCTTGCTTTTTCCCGTGGAAAAAGGCAATCTAACTTAGGATTCAAGTGAGACAAGTAATTTTTTATGGTTTTCACCGGGCATTTGGCAGATTCTGGCAAAGCAAATATTTCCGCGTCCGACTCATCTTCGGCATTGGAAAGGCCACCTTGATGGTTTTTCGTCGCTGGCAACGAGCCTGGAAACTCTCTGTTGAGCTCAAAATACTCTTCTCCTTGTGGAGTGGCTCTGAGGGCAAGCATGGCAGGTTTCATATGTTGCTGGTTTTCTCTGCCACGTCTTCCGAAGTATATGCCAAGGTAGAACCACCTGTTCTTTGAAGCTGTGCTGGATCTTTGGTGTCTGCCGGACCAAGTTCACCGCTTTGGAAGAGCTTCTCAACTTGCTGTTTCAAGATGGCCTTTTTATGCACAATACCACTAATTTTTCCAGATTTTCTTAGGTCCTTGACAAATGCCTCTAAGATCTTGTTTGCTTCGGTAAAAGCAGGGTTAGCAACGATAGAAAACTGTGTGGAGTGTGGAGGCATGCGAAGATACCTGTGAATGGCTGCACGAATTGCCTTCAAGGAAGATGACTTGTAAAATTGACCATCTTGTTTTCTTGTGGATGTATAAAAATTTTTTAGGCAAGCATTGAGTTCCTCTTTATTCATTTCTTCGATTGGTGTAACACAAAATTTGTTCCCAGAAGTCAAAAGCCAGTCTGAAAAGGTTAGTGAAATGTAACCAGTTAACTTAATTAATTTGTAAATTGTCCCAACTTGCATTGTTTTGCTTCGTGTTATTAAACTATAAACACAGATGCTTAAATTGTCAAAATAAAGTTTTGAAGTTGCTACCTTGAAAAATTTTCATGCCATACTTTGTGGCTTTCTTTGTGCTCCCTGGTGTTGCGTTTTGTAACAGTTCAAGGACTTCTTTTTCATTTAACTCCGGCGCGAAGCAATTTTCACCGGCAGCCATTGTCCATTGTTTCCTGAGCGAAAACTTTTTAGCTCCCTTTTAATTTTAAGCTGATACGAACACTCACCATATTTGTAGCTTATGGTATATTAGCTCATATACCATGATAGCTAAGCCAATGAAAAGTCTTGAATTGCATTATCCAATGTTTCAGTTTTTAATAACACAGTATATACCAGGGCCCAGTTGCTTGAATGCCAGTTAGCGCTAACCCAGGGTTAAATTTTAACCCAGGTTTCTTTTTCTTTTTATCAAAAGCACTCTCTCAGATAATTTTCTCTATTCTTTTTAGAGTATCCAATCATCAAATTGTAGGCGAAGAGAATTTAACTGAATTTGCTTTTTAAGCTCCAACATCTGAGTTCAAATTTCACACTAACCCTGGGTTACCCTAACCCAGCTCCGAACAACCCGGCCCAGTTTTATAAATTGATCGAATGACGGTTTGCTCGATTAGTTTACAGTATAAAAACAAAGGCAAGGTGTAGTATCAACCATAAAATTTAAGTACAATCAACAACCAAGGTCACAAATAACTCCTCTGCGCCCTGCACAGAAATTGCCTAGAATCTATAGCTTGAGGAAGACTAAAAACTTCTAGATGACAGTTCCATTCATGTACAATAAATAATAAATTCCCAATAAATTGTAGTACATTCTCTGCGATTTTCTAAAGTTCAGTTTTTGGCATTTGAGTCCCTAGGTTAGGCTATTTTTCGTATGAAAAGGAAACTTAAAATTTTCGGATTCGAAAATGCGATGGAGAGGAATCAGAAAAATTCGCACTTTCGTAAACCTTAAAACTGCATCATAAATTTTCGGGAAAATAATACTGAGGCCCTTGTAATTTCGAAAAGACTCAAGTTCCCTTAGGATGACCAAACAGATACAAATACTATAGCGCCACCTAGACTCATTTGTAGAGATCTAAAAGTACTCTGGATAGCCTAAAAAGTGTTTTCAATGCATTTAGGAGGAAACGTTTGTTGGGTGCCCCTGACGTGTGATAACTGCAAGAAATCATTCCCAGAGAATAGGAGTCTTGTGTCGTATTTAAAAACATTTCACAAACAACAATCGTTTAATTGCAATAAGATAGTGTTCCGAATCATTTAACAGACTTGGAGGTGTTCTAAATCCTCATGAAACATCATTCTCAGGACAATGCCGACGGCAATAACAACTGAATTCAGTTTTTCTGAAGAAGCTGAAGAAGGAGAGCAAAAAGAAACTCCCCGTTTGAAGCAAGCAAGAAGGGATGATGGTATACATGAAGAGCTATGAAACAGAAGCCAGCCTTAACAGGAAAATGTCTTGTTCCTTCAGGGCTCCTGAAAGAGATGGGAATGAGAGAGATATCAAAAGAGAAAGGTAGTAAAACAGAAAGAACCTTGCATTTTATCGCATAGTCCGGCTGCCGTCACAAACTAACAAGGAAGTTGCGTGACTGAAAGTTGAAAGCTGCTCCGAAGAAAAGTATACCCTGGCATAAAATTGCGCAGGAGGTTGAGACTATTGACCCTAGATCAGAGCCTCTTTACAATGCCGCAAGATCGTGAAATGTCGTTTGTAAAAAAAAACAAAGAAAGAGCATAAGAAACACGTGGAGATGGCTCATTAAGAGTTAAACACTCTCAGGTGCACATAAGGCTTCTCATAGCAAGCGCTTCCGTGTGTTTTCGAAAAACCGAAAATCCCGATCCTCGGTCTTTCTTTCCTCTGAATCCAAACATGCTAGAAATCTCGTCACCGCTATTGTCAAAAACTTTTGGATTACAACTATAACCGTCTTGAGAGGTACACTTCTTTTTAAAAGAGGAAAGGATGATGAAAGGAAGATGTAAAAAGAGCTAACGATGCTCGTCCAGATGTGGGAAATGGTACAAAGGATACTACTCCCACAGTGAATTTGTTCATCACTGCTGCCTCGGAATTACTAAAACGAATTGAGAACCATCCTGCCGGTTTTAAAAATGGCCCAAATTACTGACTTGCACTAAGTTTCTTTTTATAAATTTCCGCTATATGGAATTGAATGCTTTTTCAAAGTCGATAAAAAGGAAAATTCCTGAGAGCCTCTTCACATCCGCATATTCCAATAGATCATTCTTGGGCTATTGAAGTCATATATTTTGTCTAAAAGGAAAATTCAGCCCAACCAAATATTAAAGCAGATAGGTCTCAATTATTTATTACCTAAAATTTGAAATAACAATGAAGTTTAGAGTGCAAACAGAATTATTATCTATTCCACCAGCAACGTTTCGGCTAACAATCTTGTTACCTACAGCTCGGACAATTTCAAAGTCGTTTCCATTCAGTTGATTTGAAAATTCTGTTTTAAAACTATTGTAAATTTCTGAAGAAGACATGTCTCCAAAAATTTCGAATGCTGTGGCAACTAGCTTTCGCACATACAGTTCTTCCCTTTTTCGGCCACGAGGAACCGAACTGATGTTCGGATTGGGTAAAAGGATAATGTCCTTTATCGCAGAATTTTGATTGCCTTTCGTAGCTTTTGGCCTGGGTTGTCGATGGCGACTACTTCTCTTTACTCACTGCACTGACTGAACTGTGGCACGCCGTTGTTTGTTGTTGATGTTGTGGTTGCTGCCAATCGAGACGCTGATGAATTTTTTTCTCGTGCTTGGAAATAGACAGGCAAGTGTGTCATTAACGTCTTCTTCACTACTTTCTCGTTGACTTGCTGCTCTGGTTTGTTCCCTTAGTCCATCGACAAGGCTAGATAAGCTGTCCACGAGGTCCTTGTGAGAGGCCATGTTCAGACGCTACCTTTGCTAACTCTCACTTTCCTGCGCTGGGCCGTGGGGATCGCCAGGAGCTAAAAAAGTGCGCCTGCTGACCAAATAGCCAGAGGGCTCAACCACATGACCAGCGGCTGGCAAAAAAGGCGGGAAAGTCGGGGGTATTGCGTGGCAAGTTTTATATATCGTAACAAGTTTTACTTTTTAACAAGTTTTATATATACTTATATTTTCAACGAGAATATTTGTAACAAGTTTTATATAACCATGACTTTTATTTATAGAAAGACAAGTTTATATTTGCAACGTTTTATAAATTGTATGACAAGTTTTATATTTTCCAAGTTTGATACATTACCAAACAAGTTTTATATTTGAACAAGTTTTGTATATTTTGCAACAAGTTTTAATTGTGCACTATAACCTTAATACTAAAACTAAGAAGTTTTATTCATGAAGCAAAATGTTTTATATATTTAATGTAAAGGTTTACACATGGTAAGAAGTATTTTTGATACAAACGGCATTCCATAGCTTAGGGACTGGTCATTATTTATCGGGGGGAGGGGCTGGTGCAATGTAAAATATGCCATGCTTGATTTTTGCTGAGCCCCTTTTACTTTAACATGAGTTTTGCAGACCCTCCCCCCATCCACCCTTGTTTTCCAGCATGCATCACACAAAATCCAGGTGATTCGGGAGTCAATCATTAGCCAATCAGCTTTGAGTATAATTTTATTTTAAAGCCGCACACAATTCTTTGCGCGTCTAGAGCTTGTTCGTACTAACCCAGGCACGAACCTGCAGCATTGTCGCGGGTGGTACTGTTGTTTACATTCGGAGGCTTTTCCAGAGAAAGATTTGGCGGAGAGCGGTGCTAAGATTGACAACTGAGTCTTTTAATAACTGTTGACTTGTTAAAACGAAGAGCTATAATCGGCGACAAAAGTGTTGAGACATTGTACTTAACTAGGGTAACTTCGGTGAACAAAAGAATCCGCACCCCTCCCCTGTCCCCTCCATTCAAAGTTGGGGTGTTTGTTGTTTTCTATAGGTAGCTAGAACAAGGGCACAACATTGCACGGAGGGGATGGGGGAGGAAAGCAATATTTCCTCCTTTTGAAATTAATAAAA